AGCTTGTTGACCATGGCTGCTGAAAAGTGACAGTGCAGTGTTTCTTATCACTTTAAAGTGGATATATTTAAAAAATACTCAATGTTAGTTAATATTAATAGTAATTCTTAGCCAACAGTAATTCTTAGCCAACAATCTCCAGTATGCAAGATTTATTTCATGTGCTGCTAAATTAATTCTAAACTTTTATTGTGTTATGGCTGAATGAGTTACTCTGAGCATAAAATGTACTATTAATGGTCAAAAGACTAAGGAAGTTACAAGGATTGCAGAATGTGTGAAAATGTATTCAGTTTAACAAATGAATTTGAATTTAACATCTGTAACTCAAAATCTGTAATGCTAGTCCGTACATGAGAAAAATCAGCCTACTTGGTGGCTGCCACTCCTGATTTTTAAATGATTTCAAAACGTGACTAGAAAGGACAGCATCTATTTAGGAACGATCAGATATTGTCCTCTATACAACACCTGGATTTGTTTTAACATGCATGTTTATACACCTGCTAGTGCCAAAGTTTTTAACCTATCATACATGGGAGAGCATGCCTCCAGATGAAATCAAGTAGAACTATATTGCTGAAGGGGGAAGATCAACAGCTTGAAGTCTGAGAAGGTGAGCAACTGAAACTCTAGAAAAGTATGAGCCACAGTAGCAGGAAATATTGTCATCCAATTTACCCTTGTTTCACAGTCTTTATTGGGATCAGATATCGTGAACAACTAGTTTGACCTGTACTCTAGAGCTCTATGAAATTGTGCTTTCATCTTAAGATAAGTCCAGGTTATATCAGGCCAAAGCATAATTTAGCTGGTTTGTACAATTGCTGGAGGGGAAACCGGTAAAACACCTGCATTGCAATTTTCTTTCTTAAGAGGCCTATTGTCTAATCTGTCAGCAGATCACCTTCTTTTTGACATAACTGGGAAACTAGTTCTATAAATGAGTGTACTGATACTGGAGGAAGCACGGCTCAGTGCTCAGGTAGTCCTTTTTAAAACGCAGATCTGAATCATTTGGATTCCAATTCTGTATAGGTTGTGTCCCTGCAAGCCTCTAGCTACTGAATGAGCAATAAAGATGTTTCGAAAATATCTTTAAAATAACCACCTATAAAATGACAGACTTTTTTCTAAGCACTCCAAAAACTGTTTGTATTTAAAAGAGAACTGCATTTATTGTTAAATGTTTAAGCTTAAAAAAAAATAAGAAAGGTGTTGATGGTTATTGTGCCTGGAGATTCTCACATTATTTTTCTACTTAAAGAATGAATGCAGTGGTTTAATGCACAGTCAACATTTAATCATAATATTGCTTACTGCAACCTTACTCCTGAAACACTTAAACTTTATTTTATTTTTTTTTATTTTGTCAAGCATGTATTAGATAACAGATATAGATATAAACACAGTTATTAATATGTGAATTAATACGTGAATTAATACTGAACCTGGTGGCTCAGCAGACTGATAGCATTGTGATTAACACCAGCTGTCTGCAATTACTGTAAGTTCGAATGTCACCAGGCTCAAGGTTGACTCAACCTTCCATCCTTTCTAAGGTAGGTAAATTGAGGACCCAGTTTGTGGGGGCAATAAGCTGACTTTGTATAAATATACAAAAGTATGAAGGCTATTGCTTAACGCATTGTAAGCCCCCCTGAGTCTCCGGAGAAGGGCGGCATATAAATCAAATTTTTTTAAAAATGGTTACAAATAAAAGGGGGACATTAGAACAGGGACAGTAGGCACATTGGTGCGCTTATGCATGCCCCGTACAGACCTCTTAGGAATGGGGTGAGGTCAACAGTAGATAATCTAAGGTTAAAGTTTTACGGGTTTGGGGAAGAAACCACAGAGTCAGGTAGTGCATTCCAGGCATTGACCACCCTGTTGCTGAAGTCGTATTTCCTGCAATCAAGTTTGGTGCGGTTTACCTTAAGTTGTATCTATTGTGTGCTCTTGTATTGTTGTGGTTGAACTGTCAGGATTTAAAATGGCAAGCCATATTCTAAAAAGAATAGTGCAAAATGCTGTTGGATTAATATTGTAGCATTTTTCATGTCCTGTGATACCGTCAATCTGCAAAACCCCCAATATAAGGATTGACCAAAAAAGTGGCCTTGACAAGAGAGATAACAGCCAACTAAGCAGGAGTGTCAAACTGGCGGCCTATGGGCTGGATGCGTCACGTGCAGGCCACGCCCACCCCAACTCCATGAAGGGAAAAAACATTGCAAAACATCATGTGATGGCAACGTGATGCCACAACTTTGACACCCGTGAACTAGAGAAATAAAGAAGGTAAGTGAAAAATATAACATTGTAATAATTGCTATTCATGGTTATTCAGCAGTGAGAAAAATTATTATCCACGGCAGGAGCATCCAACGGAAAGGTCAAATTCTGCAAGACTGAATACAGTAGAAGCTGCAATCTCCATCCTCATACAAAAGGATCACAAGGTCCTTGGATCACAATGCCATGTCCACCATCTTGCAGATTTTCACACATACACATACACACCTTCTGTGGATACCCATGACCCATAGGCCTTATTTCCAGCTAAGTATGCATATAATTATAAATTTTATACATACATATATAGAGCACAGAGCAACTACAAAATAACAATAATTAAAACAAGCTTTCTTTTTTGTTTTTCAAATGGCCTAGTCCAGCCTGACTATACCACTCAAAGCCAAACAACTGCTGGAGGCCTCAGTACCTCTAAATTGGTCCTGTTTGTCTTCCACCATACCATCATGAGGCTCATCCACAATCTGTCAGCCACTGAGTTTTTTTAATAGCCTCTGTTCACTTAATAAAACAAAACAAAGGGAAGACCAAAAAAAAATCACAGAAGAAGGGAAGGAAGAAAAGCAATAGAGAGAGGGGGGGAGAGAGAGAGAGAGAGAGAGAGAGAAAAGAACAAAAACTAGATTTGATTTAATATATATATTTTACACAACAGTCTCAATAAAGATTAGATATATTTCATCAAAATCATATTTCATACCCACCGTAATCTATGTCTATAAGCAACTCAGTTGTAAATTGCAAATAACATCAGGTCCACTGAGTAACTGAACCCATAAATTTATTTTTCCACTGTTGAAGGACTAGTCTCTTAGCAGTAAGAAGGTCATGGAGAATCCATTTCCTGAACTGTCTGTTACGCATAAGGGGGGAAAATTAGATTCCCTTCATCCCAGTCCTGGTTAATTTCAGACATAACATTTGAATGTCTATAAGAACTACCATCCAGGAACTCTTCTTTCCAGCTTCCTGATTAGCAAACTGGAAGAGAACTTCCCTGTCTACAATATGGGAACAGAATAATCAATCTGTGTAGCACATAGTATTCTTTTCAAGCCCTAGACACCATTGTACATCCAAAAACATTTTAAAATATTAAAATAACTGACATTTCACAAGATTGCATGAGATTTTGGCTATATAATCCTTCAAATCTTGCAGAAACATTTTTGCATGAAATTTTACATTTAATGTTCTTCTGAGATTTTTACTAATTTTCTTTTTTAAAAAATCCAACTAATTTTATGATTTTTGCAAGAATCAGCTATGGATGTTACAACACTCTGGTGCCAGAATCCACCACATCACAGGCCCTTCACATGGCTTTGATAAACTAAATGGATCAATGGTCTACCCTTGGTATATGCTGGTTCACCCTATGTGGTACCCTCTAAATATGTTCAATTTCAATTTCAATTTAATTCAATTTATATGCCGCCCCTCTCCAAAGACTCAGGGTGACTCACAATACATTTAAAATCCTAATAAAAAACAATTAAAAATTAAAAACATTAAAACATTAAAACTCATTCATACCATTCATGGCCGGATCTCGCCAGATCGCAAGAGTGAGATCAAAGGTCCCAGGCCTGCCGGAAAAGCCAGGTCTTCACCACTTTTCGGAAGGCCAATAGGGTGGGGATGGTCCAGACCTCAGGAGGTAACTGGTTCCAGAGAGCTAGGGCAGCCACAGAGAAGGCCCTCCCCCACGGGCCCGCCAGCCGACATTGTTTAGCTGACAGGACCTGGAGGAGACCAACTCTGTGGGATCTTACCGGTCACTGGGAGCTATGCGGCAGAAGGCGGTCTCAAAGATAACCTGGCCCTGAGCCATGTAGGGCTTTAAAGGTAATAACCAACACCTTGAATTTGACCGGAGACCAATAGGGAGCCAGTGCAGCTCGCGGAGAATTGGTGTAATGTGGGTGTACCTAGGTGCACCCACGACAGCTCATGCGGCTGCATTCTGAACCAACTGTAGTCTCCAAACACTTTTCAAGGGTAGCCCCATGTAGAGCGCATTGCAATAATCTAACCGTGAGGTGACAAGGGCATGAGTGATGGTGAGGAGAGCCTCCCGATCCAAGTAGGGTCACAATTGGTGCACATTTGCGCCATGTTTGATTAAATGTAGCCCCAAGTGGCTGGAATTTCCAGATGTCTGACTGCAAAACTTGGAAAGCATCAGGTTGGGTAAGACTAATGCAACATTTCTAGAGCAACCAGCCTGAGGATTTGAGTTGAACTCAATTAAAGCTAAAATCAACCTGGCAGCACTCCGGCTTGCCCTTAATCTAAGAGCAGGAAGGCTACAGGGAAAGCTGAGGTGCCTATGAGTCAAAAGCCTATTCCATTCACTGCTGCAAATTTTATTTCTTGAAAAAGTACTGAAACAACAGTTTAAGGTCTATTGTTCTTTAAAACCAAGCACCAAGCAAATATCTAAAAGAACTAAAGTATTTTTCCCATATATGGAGTCTAATGGGTCAGATATTACACACACACACACACATATATATATTCATTTTTCATTATGTCTTGAATTTTATATAAAAATGTCTCCAAAGGTATTGTAAAACTGAGACATACCATGGAAAATAATACTGCAGATGATTGATTATGAAAATGGGAGACACAATATGACCACATGCCAAAAAAAATGAGAAAGCAGACAACATAGCTCAGTTTCCATTTTAAACAAATAGACATTGGAACAATCAGGAAACTGCCAAGGTAAATTAATTCAGCATGGACACAGCACCAACAAAATGAGGCAGATTCAGTGATGGCCGCCGTGATGGTGTTACAGTGGCAATGATGAAAGACACTCTTCTCCTGTTTTGTCTTTTTCTTCAGCCTGGACAGATTTTACTCCTCTAACTTTACATCAAATCCAGCAAATTCAGTGGCAGACTTTTGGCACTTAAAACTAGAATCCAAATCTGGCCTCGGCAATATACAAAGCGCTCTGAGTATCCTTTCTTCTTGAGGATTTGACACATGATTGACTCCTCCTGATCATCTCTTCACCTCTCATTATGAAGATAAACAGAAAAGAAAAGGATTCATTCAACCAAGAAGAGAAACTGTGACAGATACAAAACTAAGCCATTGTCCATCAAAATGTAACAGGCTCCAAGGTCATGTCACAAGCTGTGCTATTTAAACTCTTCCCAATCTGCCATCTGCAGTATTGAAATCAGACCGCAGAAAACAGGTCAAACCTGTCTTGCTGCAAGTCTTTAAATACATTGGGATAAAACGATTTGGTACATTTGGTTTGTCATCAGCCGGCTGGCGGTGTAGCACAGGACCTAGAATACATCACTCTGTGATTTAGTATATCCTACTAAGCCATGGTTTGTTGATCCAAAGTTCCTAGAGTAAACAACAATGGTTGACTTCACACAATATGGTAAATCAAACAGGACAACCCATAGCATGGCTTAGCAAATAGAAAAAAAATCTGACAATATTAAGGTTAGTATGACTGATAATACTTCAGATACTTCTTTTCATAAATTTTATAAATAAACTTTCAGGCAAGATTGATATCAGGGTAATCCAGATGAGAAGCAGATCCAGAATCTAGTTCTAAAGTTATTGTAAGGTTACATTAACAGAATCTTGGAAGTCTGAAAGTACATCACTAACCCCTCACCTTTTCAGGTTAAGAAACTTGGTAGGGTCCCTTCAGAAACATTGCCACGCCCACATTCCTTCTCTGGCTACGTGGCGTCTTATCTGACCATAATCTAGTCTGCAGCCTTTTTCCTATCTCCCTAAGTCATTCCCACATACCATTACACCTCTTATTATACATGATTAACAACGGCAGGTTTCAAAACCCATCACTACCGGTTTGTTCGTGGGTGCGCGCACGCAACACTTCTGCATATGCACAGAAGTGTCTGGGCGGGCGGAGCCACCCACCGCTACCAGTTCCCCTGATCCGGGGCGAACCGGTAGCAACCCACCACTGATGATCAAGATATGACAGTGTGCATGATCATATAGATAATCTGATAAAGATTAATCATGGTTACAATTTTCTAGCTACAAATACATTTTAAAAATCCATACCTCTGTCCAGATGAACAGGATACATTGACCCAAGAAAGGTAGCAGTGAATTTGACTTCCAATATTTGAATGCTTACTACAAAACAAGGAAAATGTGTAAATAAATCAGTTTGGTCTAGTGGTAAGGCACTAGGATGGAAACCAGGAGACTGTGAGTTCTAGTCTCATTTTAGCCACAATCTTAATCAGTCATTTCTTCTCAGCCCATCTCACAGGTTTCCTGTTGTGGGGAAAATAGAAGGAGGAAAGTGTGTTGGATATGTTTGCCACCTTGAATTATTTGTAAAAATAATTAAAGCAAAATATAAATAAATAAAAATAAATTCTAAGGATGCAAATTAGTAAAGAGGATTATCAAATAAGTGGGGTAAGTACTTCAACTTGCTTTTATTATGCTAAAAGCTATATGTGTAGAAGCTTAAATTCATCATAACCTGGTTGGAGTGTAGAAAGCCACTGGAAGGGATGACTTACTGCAACTCGCTCCACAGTTTAGCCAGAATGTGCTTAAGATATGGGATTGTAAATTTAATTGGTAGGCTTGTTGGGTTGCCAAACATTAGAGGGCAGTGCAAAATCAGTCTTCCAGATCCTTACATCTAAATCAAATCTAACGTTTTAAATTTAAATCAAAACAGCTCTAAAGGAAGAGAAAATATGTGAGCCAAACTTTAGAAAAAACAAATGATTATTAGATAGGAGCAAAAGATCAACAACAAATAACTGATAGCACAGTTCACAAGCCACAGGCCACAAAGAGGAACTATATACTTCACAGAGGTGGAAAGTTTTAAACGAAGTTAAACAACTAAAAAACAAGATCACAAGGCTACATCAAACTGTGAAACAAATACCTGTAACAGTTCTATAGGGCACTACTCTTTTTTGATAAGGTTCTATTAGACAAGATCCTTAGGAACGGCATACCTACCAAAAATGAAATGAAAGGATCCAGCATCTACTACGCCAACCTTTATTTCCATTGTACTAATCCCAAAAAGACATTCAAGATAAGTGTCAGATTTTATGACTGGACCAGTCTCAAAATCTTCTTAATATATCATTAAGTTATTATTAAGTTATAGGATCATTGGTTGCCCTCTCCCCTCTTTGGAAGAGCTTTATAGCTCCCGCTGCCTTAAGAAAGTTCAAAACATTCTTTAAGATCCAGATCATCCTAGGCACCCTTTTTTTGAACTATTACCATCTGGCAGACGGTACAGGATAATTAAAAACAAGGACAAATAGACTGAAAAACAGCTTCTATCCCAGGGCAATAACCATACTGAATTCTACGGTATAGTGCAATATCGGGTTTTCAATTTCAATTATATAGAATGTCAAGGATGTATGTTTGTGTTTTTATTTTTATAGTTATAATGTACACTGAAGATGGCATTTAATTTCGTTGTACCATGTGCAATGACAATAAAGTAAAGTAAACTAAATTAAATTAAATTAAACTAAATATATTTGCATATCTATCTCTGTCTCTATATGTTTTCTATACAGAGAACAATAGCTTCAAAGACTTTAGGCAGTTTGCAATAAATAAAAAATAATAAAATTATTCCCAACCATCAAATGATCACACTAAATAAAATGAGAATAGCAATAGCAATAGCAGTAGCAGTAGCAATAGCAATAGCAATAGCAATAGGAAGGAGGAGGAGGAGGACGAGGAGGAGGAGCCCTCAGAGTAACTGAGCTGTTGCATTTTGGACTCAGTGTAGTTTCCAATCATCTTTAGATATAGCCTCAACTAGAGTTGTTGCAGCAGGCCAAATATGGTGATAAGGGCTAAGATTATGGTTGAAAATACCTTTTTCTTGACTGCAGAATTTGCAGAAGTACATCGTCAAAATTTAGTGATAAATCATCCAAAGTCATTAATATGATTTTAAGCAACAAAGCAAACAAACGAGAGATACCAAGACATCATTTTAAAAGCAGACAAATTGATCCTGCCCATTTGTCTAAAATTACAATGTCTTTCAGCCCTAACCTCTGAAAATAAAGTTTTTAAAAAATGATTCCTAGTCATCAAAAGATTGTCTGCTTCTGGTTTAAACCCATCATTCATCAGTCAAGTTCAAAACAGCTGATAAATAAACAATGAATTAATGAATAATAAATAATGATAATGTAACAGTAAAATTCTAAAATAGCCATGTTACAAATAAAGCTGTATAAGCAGACACTTCCTAAATTGAGCAAATTATAATTAGAGGTTTATTTTCATGTTCCAAAATACAAGGAATGAAGATATCATTGGCTAAAACATTTCTGACGTTCAGTGAAGGTATGAAGAAACATAATTGGGTCTACATCCACATTTTTCACTCCTGACTTTTCTACATTCATAAGATTGTTAGTGTAAATGTAGGCTATTTTGCAAATAATTTAATAAATGGCAGGGATGAATGAGCCATTTCTAACTCTAGCACTCCCATCTCTGGGCTGGGACCTGATCAGAGTGATAAATGAGATTAAAATGATTTGAGGCTTCCTTGATAATGCTAGCCTGTCAAGAAATCATAATGTCCAGTAAGCTCAGTTCCTAGACAAGAAAACAAAAGATGAAGCACCTTTAAAGACTAGAATTTGCCTTTCTGTAATAGTAGTCAGGCACAAATTAAGACTAGATCTTTTAAAGAGTTATAATATATGGACTTGGGGCATAGTATTTTCTTGACGCTAGTGGACAGCTGGAAAAATACAGAGGCTATTATTTATTTATTTGTTCAATTTCTTATGGTGTTTTGGGGAGTATTAACATCAGATTCCCTTTCATTCCTAAAAGGGCAATACTTTTATTATATGCCTAATATCAGTTTGCTTAATTAATTCTCAGTAAGATGATTTGAAAATATGTCTCAGTTTCATTTATTTGGATCATTCCATGAATAGCTATTTTATAGTTTCCTTCATATTATTCTTTGGAGTGCTGAACTCCCATTCATTTTCCAATGCTACACAACAGATGGACTTGACTTTGGCAAGAATCGATGTCAAGGATTCATCCACCAGTAGCTGAAGCCAATAACTTCCTTCATTCCTTGGCATGCAAAATATTGGATTTCACGTGGAAATGAGAAAAATGCTTTTATATTCATTTGTGTGAAATACAATATATTTGCTCAATAAACCTAGGCCTACATATTAATCATAAATCAATTATATTTATCCTTAACCTCAGAAACACTGCATTTCTCTTCCTTTCTTCAATATGAAATCCAATAGTTTTTTTACAGCAATTATATTGACTTTCATACAAATGGTAAGCTCATATTGTAATCATTAGTACTGTAGCCAATTCATTTGATATGACTCCAGCATTTATTTGCAGTCAGAATTCTTCCTTTCTACGGCTTGATATTGATATTTTTTCATTATTATTAACTGGATATCCTTTTCATTTTTACTATGAATTTTATACGGCATATAAAAACTCTACACAAATATTTCATATTGAAGAAAGGGGGCTATAAGAGACTGGAGGAAAAAGCCAACCTCCTGACTACATTGAGATCTGGAGACCATGTTGATCACGATAGCAGTAGGAAATAACAGGAATTCATTTACCATAAGAAATACTGAGATAGCAGTGGCTTTGAAGAGCCCTAAATTGCCTTAGGGCTTCAGATCAAGTTCATTTCAAGTCTGTAATATATGCACAGGGATCAAGATTATTGACAGATGCTACCAGACGTTTCTCGGGGAACTTGAAGTCCTGATTTGTGTTTGAGATTTAGGGTGCCATTTCAGGGAGAAGGCCCAGAGAAATGTCTTCTGCAAGCATTGCACTCAAAAACTGGATAAAATGAAAACAGGGATAGAATTAGCATAAACCCTAATATAGCTAAGCATAAATTTCTGCCTTTTAAAAAAAGTTCACTTCCATTTAATCCAATTCCCTAAAGTAATGGCAACATTCTCATTTATCAACCAGTCAGAAAAAAAATAAATTAAGTTGCTAATGTGTTGAAACGGCTATTATTATTTCTTTAAAACATAATCTAGCTTTACTCCAAACAGTTTAATAGTCAGGATTAAAATTGGTGGCAGTTACCATTTGCTAAAGAAATCTGACAATTAGTAAGAAATCCTCGGGGCCCGCATCAACATTGCATCAGAACTATATTTTTATTCTTCAGTGGCAATTTTCTTCTTTAATTCAAACATAATTTCTTGGGTTATTTGAATTCCAACTCTTGGTTTCCACAAAAATCAAAAACATTAAAGTTGGAGAAGCTGGCTGCAGCTCACAGTTTGGAATTGAGACAAGATGTCTAGACATAATTCTTTTCAACATTGAACAGACATTTTGATCGTAACACAACACTCAGTTGCTATCACTCATTCAGATGTTTGTTGTTTTCTTTTTTGGTAAATTGCAACCAATTATTTTTCAGCTGGCTTTCACATGATTCCTGCAGCTTTAATGTCATATACATGAAGTATCTCTCAACAAATGTTATGAAAAAAGAGTGTGATGAAATTAACTCTGTGATGTTGGTCACAACGTTTGAATCTAATTAGATTAAAATAAATTAAAATGCATTAATTTAGTTTCAAAATTAAATTAAAACAAATGCACTTTTAATATTAAGTAATAGCCTCCAAGAATGAGTGGCAACAAATAGATTATCATAGCAACAGCACTTAGACTTCTATACCATTTCATAGTGGTATAGCCCTCTCTAAGCATTTTAGAGAGTCAGCATATTGCCCCAACAATCTGGGTCCTCATTTTATCGACTTCGGAAGGATGGAAGGATGAGTCTTTATCTTCTTCTTTATCTTTATTTGATTTGTATACCGCCCTACTCCCGAAGGACTCAGGGCGGTGAACAGCCAAACAGTAAAATACATAAATACAAAATTTAAAAACAGGATAAAATTGAATTGAACAATTTGGCCCAGACAAATTAAAACACCCCAGTCATTTAAAAACAGATTAAAATTTGCATGTTTAAAAAGAAAAGAGGGAAAAAGATTAGGTCAGGCCCGCCTGAGGGAATAAAAAGGTCTTCAAAGCGCAGTGGAAGGTGGGCAGATCCGGGATCCTCCGTATCTCCGGGGAGAGCTCATTCCAGATAGTAGGTGCCCCCACAGAGAAGGCTCTCCCCCTAGGGGCTGCCAGTCGACATTGTTTGGCTTATGGCACTCGGAGGAGCCCCTCTCTATGAGAGCGTACCGGCCGGTGGGAGGCTATTGGTGGTAGTAGGCGGTCCCGTAGATCAGTGGTCCCCAACCTTTTTATCGCCGTGGCCCGCTGAGCGCGCGCAGGGGTGGGGGCACGGCCCAGGAGCTTTTGCGCACGGCCCATTGCGCACGGCCCAGGAGCTTTTGCGCACGGCCCAGGAGCCTTTGCGCTGCAGCGTTCATGTCCCCCGGCCGCTGCGCGGCCCGGTGCCAGGTACTCCACGGCCCGGCACCGGTCCGCGGACCGGGGGTTGGGGACCACTGCCGTAGATGACCAGGTCCTAAGCCATGGAGTGCTCTAAAGGTGGTAACTAAAACCTTCAAGCGCACCTGGAAGACCACCGGGAGCCAGTGCAGCTCGCGCAGGAGAGGTGTTACATGGGAACGCCATGTCGCTCCCATTACCACCCGCGCGGCCGCACTCTGCGCCAGTTGGAGCCTCCGGGTGCACCTCAAGGGGAGCCCCATGTAGAGAGCATTACAATAGTCCAGGCGGGAAGTGACGAGGGCATGAGTGACCGTGCGTAAGGATCCTGATCCAGAAAGGGACGCAACTGGCGAATCAGGCGAACCTGATGAAAAATCCTCCCGGTCACGGCCGTCAAATGCTCTTCTAAAGACAGCCATGAATCCAGGAGGATGCCCAAGTTGTGAGCCCTCTCCGTGGGGGCCAATGATTCGCCCCCAATAGTCAGTGATGGCGTCAACTGACTATATCGGGACGTCGGAAACCACAGCCACTCGGTCTTGGACGGGTTGAGCCTGAGCCTATTCCTCCCCATTCAGAACCGCACGGCCTCCAGGCACCGGGACATCACTTCAAGGACATCGTTGGGGTGATCCGGGATGGAGATGTACAGCTGGGTGTCATCAGCATACTGGTCAACCTTGAGCCTGGTGAGGATTGAACCCCTGGCAGTCAGCAGAATTACCTGCAATACTGCATTCTAACTATTGCACCACCATGTCTCCTAACCTGTTATTACCATTAATTATCATTAATATCATAACCTATTCTTCTCCATCCCAATGCCCTCCAGATGCACCAAGAGAACCAGCTGGGTTGAGGATTCATAAACTTGTGGTTCCAAAACATCTGGAAAGCACTAAAGTGGAAGAAAGCTGGCTTCAAACCATTTGAGTTGGATTCCTGAGGCTTTTATGGAATGAAGTCTGGATTTAAATCACAAAAGAAGTATCTTTGTCCATTCATTTGAAATTGTTAATCTGAAAAGCATGACCTCTTCCAGGTTTGAAAAAGAAAAATACTTCCTTCAGATGCAAACATTATTGACCATCTACCTGTCTGCCTGTCAATCTAGCAACGTATTTATGATTCAGGCAAGTGGCAGCTAAAACAGAAATGCTTCTAAAGGCCCATTTTAATCAGATGTTTCCTTTAATCCTATTTTAGTGTATATTCCTTCTTAATTAACTTTTTAAACAGTCACAAGACAGTTCACACTGTCAAAAGAATGATGTCGTAGTAATTTTAAAAAATTATATCATGCATAAAACACCTAACATAAGCAGGATGTTGAGATAACAATGCTTGTCTATAAAGCTACTAAACTGAGCCGCTATCTCGGTTTGCATAGAGAAACAGTGCCATCTGGTGGTCATATCAATGTATTTCAGAAGACTACTCCACAGCTGCCTAAAATGGCAAGAAAACTTGGAGGAATATGTAATTATGTTTTCGGGATATAGACTCTAAAACTGAAAAATAGTTTCACAAACAGCTTCAAACATGTTTAAAGAATGAGTTTAAAGACATAATGTGATCTGGGCTCAACATCTTTCCCACAATCTTTTAAGTTTTCTAAATGATTGTGTGCTATCGAGTTGATTGATTGAAATCAAACAAAAAAGACACTGCTTAGAAAAGGGACATACATCCTCCTTCTTCCACATCTTGCCATCTATGAGCTTCCATTGCCATGATCCTGATTCACATGTTGGCTAGATTTATATGAGTTAAAAATTGCAAAACCAGCTTTTCATTGGCAGGATTGTTTGGGGTTTAAGCCTGTGTGTAAATCCAATGCATTAGACCAGTGTTTTTCAACCTTAGTAGCTGGCTGGGGGATTTTGGGAGTTGAAGTTCACCCATCTTCAAGCTTCCAAGGTTGAGAAACACTGCATTAGACAGAAGGATAAAACAAATGGTTCTTTCTGCTATAATCTCTTTCTTTCCATAAAAGTATTCAAAAATTAGTGTGTGTACCAGTGGTGAAATGTAAAATTTGTTACTACCGGTTCTGTGGGCTGGCTTGGGGGGGGGTGTGTAATGTGACTGGGTGGGCGTAGCCAACTTTTTTTTTTTTAACTTTTAAAAGCATTTTTTCAACAACCTCTTTGGCCAAAGAGGTTGTAAAAAAAATGCTTTTAAAAGGCTCTGACGATCCCAGCTGAGTTGCTTGATCGTCAGAGACACTTGTTTTCTTTTAAAAGCATTTGTTTTTTGTTTTAAAAGAAAAAAAAAGCCTCTGATGATCAGGCAACTCAGCTGGGATCGTCAGAGCCTTTTAAAAGCATTTTTTCTACAACCTGTAGAAAAAAATGCTTTTAAAAGTTTTTTAAAAAGCCTCTGATGATCACGCAGCTCAGCTGGGCATGGGGTGGGCAGGGATTTTTGCTACCACTTCTCCGAACCACCCAAAGCCATCGCTAACAGATTGGGCGATCCGGACTGAACCGGGAGCATTTCACCCCTGGTGTGTACGTACACACACACACACACACACACACACACAAATATACATACATTTTTGAAAGGTGAATGCTAGTAGCTTATTAAAGCTGCAGTTTTAAATTCACAAAGCTGAAATAGGCCACTGGAGTAATACTAAGTGAAAAAACCATTTTTTACACACACAAAATAGTGTTGATTGGTTTCATTTACATTATATTGTGCATCACCATCTTGAACCATATCTGTTGCAGCTAATTCCAGATAATGAACCTGCTAATAACACTCCAACATGTGATTCCAAATTTAACAAACTATTTTTTGGAATGGTTTAACGTTGTTCTTTTTCTAAGGGAATAGCTGGTTTATGAAGAAAACAGGAGAGAATTTAGAAAAGAACCATTCACTAAAATAGTGTTGTTGTTGTTGTTTTTAAAAAGCACCTAGAATTTCAAGAACATTTTCAGCAGTGTTAGATTGCTTCTGAGCAGTATAAAAATCTAGTTATAACCTAACAGGTGAAGAGAAGCTTTTTACCCATGGATCAGCAAATAATATCCTCCTTAGGACAGAATAACCTAAAATATTCTATATTTTGCTGCAACTAAAATTTATGTTACTAGCCTATTAATTTGTCTGCACACACTGTCTACGCACTAATATTTTGGGGGTCTAGAGAGACCTGCATAATATACAGCCCACAAATAAACTCATGCCCTCCCCCCGTGTTTTTTAAAATTCAATAAATTCACACTGCCACTCTGAAATGCAGCTGCCAAGCACTCGCATCATCTCCTGGTCTCACTGACACTGCCAGCTCCAGCTCTACTACCTGTCTGATAGCTGCTGGTATTCCTTTGTGGTCCACGATTATTTTAAATTTATCCAGTCA